GGGAGAAGAAAGGTGTGACATTTTCTCAGACCTGTCTTTTTCTATGAAATTGACGCTTAAATTCTTCTATTATAAGCGTATTCCTTACTCCACATAGAAAACAAAAGTCTGCCGCCCTACTCCACTTTTCAATTATTGTTGACACATATGACTCATCCTACTATATAAATTCCCATCCACACAGGCCATAGTTTATATTTTTCTGTAATGGAATAACAATATTATCAAATACTTTATTAACATGATCTCCCCACAAGAAAATGTTTACCTGCACCTTCATTTGCTTTTAAAACTCATTTATAATTCAATCAACTATAAGCATACAATAATTTACTGATCGATCCTAATATTCCTACTTTCAAAAGGAAATTAGAAGTTTAACCTAACTTTTGAATTCACCCTTAATACAAAAACAGAGAAAAGGAAAGGTCAAAGGAAAACAAATCATAGTTCCACCACAGTCCACACCATTGATTGCAGATGATTGAGGAGAAAACAAAAGAGAGAGAGGAGGATTTTTTTATTTTTATTTTTATTTTTAAAAAGAAACCTTCTTCTTCACTCCAAATAATCTAAAGATTAAAGGATAAGAAAAACCACCCATTTTAGCCCCTAAAAAAAGAATATTTGACCAACTCAAAATCAAGTAGCACTGGGCTTCTCTCAAATCTAGATTTAGCAATCTAGCTGTCGAAATTCAAATAGGCCATAATTAGAACATAAGTTCAGTGCTTGTCATCATGATTTTAACCCAAAGATGGTGCAAAAGGGGTAAAAAGAACTTGGCATGGCATAAAGACTATTGTATGTATCTACACCAAGGCCAACATCCACTATCTGGGTCTTCTTATGGTAATACCGAACAATTATAATAATGGCAAGAGGAAGTTCATTTCATCAACACCAAAAATAAATTAATAAAACCTATTTTAATACAGAAAAACCTTTAACATAATCATGCAACATCTCTGAACACAAACACATGGATGCTGCGAGTGATAGACAGACTTTATATTAAAAATTATTAATCTTCTCATCTTTTGTCTTATGCTTGTCCTCATGATCTACTGCAACTTCATTTTCCCTACCCCACTCCTATCTAACCCTCTGCAAAATTCCAATCTCAATATATACACCAACACATACAGTATACATATAACACATGTATGTAAGTACAGAACTCACTCATATAAGAGGAAAGGAAAGCAAAGAATTAGATCCTTCTCTTACATCAATCTCAATCACTCAACGTGTCTTGGGTTTTTCATGATCCTACTAATTACATAAATATCTATGGTAAAAGTTAAATAGAAATTTGAAACTTCAATTACTCAAGACATATAACATTAATAAAACAAATTTTACAATTCACATCAAGCGCATTTTTAAGTATACGAATAGAAATTTTAATTTTCTTTTCCAAAACTTGTATTTCCATGTACATACGGATATTATACTACCCGAACAAAAGAAAACTTTTTTCCCCCAAATTAAGAGTAGGAAATTTGGAACTAGGAAAAAAAAAATGAGTAAAAATCAACAGGAAAATGGGAATTTATCCATAGAGAAATTAAAAATTTTCACAGATTTTAGAAATTTACTGATTTTTACTACTCTGGGATGGTGACGAGCACAGGTCTCCAAGCTCTTCTCAGTAGCCTGTACCGGAACGTGGATGAGACTGGCCTGAGGGAGGCAGATGAACCAATACGCCGACTCGAAAATCCGGCGGCGGCACTACCACCAACGCCGCCGGTAGCCGGTAACAGCCCTTCTCTGTCATTCACTGTGCTCCTATCTCTATCTTCAAACGGCGGAGAGGAGATGAACAGCTCCTTCAACTTGCGCCTCACTCGAATCTTCTCCTTCTTTTTGCTCCCGCTACTCTCGATCTCCGGAGATTCCTCAGCTATTTCTTGGAGGTCAGGCGAGCCGGCTCGGCGAGAGAATCCGCGACGTTCTGAGGTTCGATTAAGTAGCATCCGCAAAGTTTTACGGCGGCGGAGGTGGATAACGGGACTGGTAGTAGGACTCCGCGTAGGACTCCCCGCCACAGCGCATTGAGTGGCTAGCAGCTTGAATTTCTGCAGAGTAGCCATTCCCTATCGATGATCTATCGACCGAGGAAACAACGCTTCGTTCACTCCGCAACAAATGCTCTCTACCTGCTCTCTCCTCTCCTTACAAAACCTCGATATTTTAGAGATCTGATAGTCTTCCGATTCTCCAGTTCATTTCACTGAACAGATAAAAACGAGAGAGAGAGAGAGAGAGGGGTTAGAAAATACAAATGGAGAAGAGAGAAAAGAGAAATGGAAGAAGAGGCTTTTTGTTATTACTTGGGGAATATTTGGGGGACTCGCCTGTTCTTTTTCTGTGTTTTGGGCCCTTAAGAGCCGTTCAGGCCGTCCGTCGACACGTGGCGTCTTTTTAGAGGAAATCCGGAGTTGGACTTAATGCGTTGCGGATGGGATAGATAGAAGATAGATACTGGGTTTGG